CCTTGAGCTCGCCAAAGTCGTACAGGCTCCGCAGCGCCGACATGTCGTAGGCCTCGGTGTCCTGCTCGCCGCCACCCTCGTCGTTGTATTTGATGACATTGTCCCGCATGTCCTCGTCGTCCTCGGGGCTCAGGTGGCTCTTGTGGTGGCGCCTGAGGGTGAGGATCAGCAGCACCAGCACTGCGTGGGGGACAGAAGGGGCGTGAGGGCTGCGCAGGGCCCCTCCCACCCGGGGAGCCGGCCTAAGGCTGCCTGGATAAGCGGGGAGCGCTCTCACTATCGGGGTGTGCGCACTGGGCCAGACCACCAGTCTGCGGGCACCGAGGGCAATGTGGGAATTTCATGGGTGTTGGGGGCTGGACCCAACCTCTGGGGTCTTCATCCTCAGCTCCATGAAGAGACACACCCAGGTCTCAGGTGCTGGGGCGGAAGGGAGCAGCTGAGGGCTGAGGAATGTCCTTGGCGCTGCCCTCTCTCTCACCCTCGCCCTCCTCTGCCCACTCCGGAGTCCTGAGCACCTCCGAGTCTTTGGAGTCTCAGGCCAAGACGCCTCCTGCAGGAGCCCTTCCCGGAGGAGCTCCGGGCCATCACCTCCCTGCTCCCTTGGCGAGGAGCTCCGCCCTCTGTCACCCTGGCTCTCACACCTCGGTCCCTGGACCAGCGGCAGCCAGCATCTCCTGGGAGCTCATTAGAAACGTGAACGCTCGGGTCCCACTCCAGGTCTACCAGTGTGAGAGCCACGGCTCCATCACACCATCGGCCCTGCGGGGCTAACACCCCAAGTACACACGCTCCGCTCCCCTGGAGGACCTGCCAGTGTTCCCCCAACCTGCTGCCTGGCTGCAGTGAGCACGTGGAGCGTGCTTGTTGAATGAATGACTGAATGAGGATGGAACCTGGGTGAGTGAAAGGATGAGTGAATGAATGGATCAGCCCTTCTTGGCTCTTCACTTGGCTTCCCGCCCTCCGTGTTCTCTGCCTCCTCCCATGTCTGGTCACTCAACCATCAGAGCAGGCGTCTCCCCTCCGACTTAACCTCAGATGCCGCAGGACTCAGTCCCTGGACCTCCATCCGCAGTCCCTCTTGGCGCTCTCCTTCAGTCTCATGGCTTTATAAAAGCTCCATTAGAGGCTGGCAAATCCTGTGCTGCAAACTCCAGCCTGGACCTCTCCCCTGAAACCTAGATTGTATGTCCTGTTTCCTATTTAACCAGTCCTCTGGGCTGGCCAAGAGAATCTCACATTTAACTGCCCACACGTGAGCTAATACTCTTTCCGCCTCCCTCACCCTCAGTCTCCTTCGTTGCAGTGATGGCAACCCCGACCTCCCAGTTACCCAGGGCTTTTAGTCTCTTCTGCTCACTGATGAGTTCAGTGCCTAGAATAGTTCAGCACAGAGGGGGAACTCACCGGGTGGATAAATAAGAAACTGATGAATGAAGGGGAGAATTAACTGGATAGGTGGGTAGATGGATGGACAGATGCCCTGGGTACTATGCCAGGCCCTGGATTGTTCTTGCTGCTCCAAACAGCTCCAGCAGGGCCAGTGGCCAGAGTCAGCGGTTAGGGCCATGAAGCCGGGTGCTGGCTCATGGCCTAACAAGGTGGCTCATGACAGGGAAGGGGATGGGGCCAAGGAGAGGTCCGGAGGGAGGGGAGGTGTCAGGAGGGAAGTGGGGAAGATGGATGGATGGCTTTTGGAGCTGGAGGCTGGAAGCTGCGGAGGGGGATGCCCGTGAGAGCAGATGGTGGGGAGCGCAGGCAGCAGGCGACAGATGTGCCAGGCCCGATCAGTGATTCCGCCGTCACCTTTAGAGCACTGATGTGCACTTTCTTCGTTTGTGGGCAATTAGGCAGAAATTTGTTTGCACTGCCTCAGAAAATGAGACCGCTGTAAAGTGCACCCTCTGGAAAAGGGTTTCTGAGCCATGGGCTGTGGGGGTGGGAGGGTGGGGAGAAGGGGGCTGGGGCCTCCCAGCTAGGAGAAGCCTGTCCAGGGCCTCTGCAGGGACCTGAGGGGGTGCAGCTTGGCCAACAGGCTGGTCCTCAGAGGGGTGGGCAGTGGCCATACGAGTGGTAGGCAATGAGGGGTGGGGGCAGCTGACATCTCCCAGGGAACTGAGCAAAGCCGGTATCTGCCACATGGACCTCCCTTGAGTCCCTCTAGCTCTCACTGTTCCGTGAAGCCAGGTAGTCAGGGCTGAGATGGGGCCTTTTGCTACCAGGGTGAAAGGTGGCATTATGGCCACTTGAATCAGTTTAGCTCCTGGAACTTGACCTCTTCACTGGGAACACAGTTTGGGGTTCAATGGGCTGCTGGTGGAACTGACACCAGAGTAAATTTTGACCCCAAATTCTTAAGATTTTGCCCCAGCTGCCCCAAGATTTTGGCCCCAGTTTAGATTCATAGCAGGTGGGGTAAAGGAGCAGGGAACACAGGGTGCGAAGACGTGATTTCAAGTCAGCGGACTAACTGTGCATCCTATGCAAACCACTAAACCTCTCTGAGCCTCAGTTTCCTCATCTGAAAAATGGGGATAATACACCTGGCTGAGTGGTGGTGAGGCTCACAAGAGCCCTTTACTACATAGAGAATAAAATAGGACAACGGATGAGAGAATCTTTAAAGACGTGCTTGGTTTTTCAAAATTAGGGAACGTCTGGCCTGTGTAGAGGGTGGGCAGCACGGCTTAGTCTCAGGTGGGGGTTGGCACCGGCAGCTGCTCCGCACTGAGACTGTTCATGGGAACTTCATGTTAGAGCTTGGACACCATTCAAGCCAGCCCTTCCCTGTATAAAGAGGGAAACTGAGGCCCCACGGGGACTACCAGGGAAGGAAATCCAGTGCCCAGGATGGGGCCACTGGGGGAGGGGGGGTGGCTCTCAGTGGACTCACCGACTAGAATGAGGACACAGACCAGCAGGGCGATGAGGGCGCCAGGGCTGAGGGAGGCAGCCATGACGAAGGCCGTGGTGTTGCAGGACTGGATGGCGCCGGAGCTGTCGCAGCCACAGATGCGGATGGTGAGCGTGCCCGTGCTGCTGAGCGTGGGCGGCCCGCTGTCCACCACCAGGATGGGCAGGAAGAACACGTCCTGCTCCTGCCGGTTGAAGCCCAGGTGCTGCGTATGCACTGCGGCTGTGTTGTCTGCGCCAGAAAAAGGGAGGGGCGCGTGACCTGAGGTCCAGGGCTCAGCTTCCCCTGTCCCGGGCACCTCTTGATTTCACCTCCCGATGTGCCTCCCTATGCCCCAGGCTACAGCCTCCCAGCTGACCTGTGGGTCTATTCCCCGATCTTCTAAAATTCTGTTCCCAGCTGTCCCCAAATTCCGTCCCCAGCTGCCCGAAGATCCTGTTCCCAGCCATATAGCCCGCAGTTCTGTCCTTAGCTGTCCCAACATTCTATTCCCAGCGATCTCAAGATTCTTTTCTTATTCAAGCTATTCCAAGATTCTGTCCCCAGCTGGGCCAAGGTCCTGTCCCTGGCTATTGTGTTTGTTTGTTTTTTCCCCATTTGTCTCAACAGCCTGTTTTTGTTCCGGATTCCACCCCAGTTGTCCAATGCATCCTGACCCTGGGGAACTGTGGCCCTTGGGTTGTGGCTTGCTGGGCCCTGACAAGTCCTGGGTCATCAGAAAAGACCGGGGACACTGGCTAGCAGCTGCCTTTGGCTGCAGAAGTGTTCTGTCCGGAGTCTGAGAGACTGAGCCTGGAGGGCTGGGGCGTGGCCCCCAGGGCCTGGTAAGAGGGCCTGCTCATGCCAAAGCTCCCTCAACCACCTCCTTCCTTTTTCAAACACATGTGGCCAGAGAGGATGGTGAACTAACACACGTACTCATTACCTTGCGGTAGCCTGTTGCTAGGAATGCCAGCAGGCCTGGGGGTGGGTGTCTTGTCTTGGAACAAGGGCTCACATGTGGTACCCACTTCCCCTGGCCTTTCTGCCTCCTCTGCACCTCTCCTGGATGGCTCAGGCCATCCCTGAGCCTTCATCACTTTGATCGCTGCTAACATGGTGGTACAGAAGTACTCAGAGCCCAGCTGGCCACCCCCCGACTTCACAGCCAACTCCACAAGAGGGGGCCCTGCCCTTCAAGTCTTGCAGCTGGTCTCACTGACCTCTGACTTTGGCAGCCTGGGTCCTTCTCCCAGCCTTTGTGGCCTCAGTTAACCCAGCCTCTTCTCTGCAGCCCCCAATTCAGGGCCCCGTCCTGGCCTTCCCCATAATGGGTACAAGGCAGGAAAAAGCCTTTGGAGGGCCATGTGTGACCTTGAGCACATCTAGGAAGTGGACTAGAGATCCAGCTGAAATAAGATTGGTCCCGGCTGAAGCTCATGTGATAGGCACACGAGGGTGTGTGATATGATTCTATCCACTTTTACACCCATTTGAAAATTTCCACAAAGATGTTAAAAATAACGCCAAGTTGACAATTTACTAGCTTGGGAAACTTAGCTTCTCTGGACATCAGTTTCCCAATCTGTAGCTGAGGAAAATAGAATCACGTGGGTGTGAGGATTAAATGGTAAAATGCACGCATAACCCTTAGAATAGTTCCCAGCACACGAAACTCACAATAGATCTGTGGTTCTTTTCTTCGCGCCCCGCCCCGCTGTTCCTGGGGCTGCACGGAGTGCCCGCGCTGTCTGGGCTGCTCTGTCCTTCACTCACCAAGTCCCTGCTATTTGCAACACCCTCTCCACCTCCTTGCCTGGGCAAATTCCTCATCCGTCATGCTCCAGCTAAATGTCACCTCCTTTCTGTGGCCTCCTTTCTCCGCTTCCCTGGGAAGGAAGGATTTATGACGCCCCTCTCTCTGCTCTGACTACGCAGGTGCCATGCACACTTCTGTTCAGCACTTGTCACACTGTGGTACCGCGGCGTGTGCCTGACTCTTTCCTGGCACCGAGCCAGACTTGAACAGCGATGCTTGACTGAACCACAACTTTCGGGGTAACTTTTGTGGTCCCTGGTTAGTTCCTCGAGCTCTGGCTTGCACTCTAGCCCTCCTGTCAAAGGTGTAGTTAACCCCAGCTGTGAAAACACCTGCCTTCCCCTGGGGAAGAGAGGAGGCTCAGGAACAAGATGGGGAAAAGAGGGAATGGGGTGGGACTCCGTTGCATGTCCTGAATGCTTTCTATGCATCAAGGACTGAGTGGATACTTTAAACACACAGTAATGTTTAATCCTTACAGCCAAGAGTTGACATGATCCCCATTTTATATATGTGGAAGCTGGTGACTTATCTGAATTTATCCAGTGAAACTGTTGGCATAGCTACCTTTTCCATCCACCCCAAATTACCCATTCATCCACCTATCCGTCTGTCCATCCATCCATCCATCATACATTCATCCACTGCTCCATCCATCCTTCCATCATCCATCCATCCATCCATCCATCCATCCATCATCCATCCACGCATCCATCCATCCATCCATCCATCCAAAACTCTTTATTGAGTAACTACTATGTGCTAGGCATGCTATTACGGGGGACGGGGGAAGATAATGGAGAGCTAAACCAATAGTACTGGATCTGAGTTTAAATTCTAATGTGAGAGACAAATATTAATCAAATAGACAAGTTAGTTTACAATTACAAACCACAGACCACGGTGAGGGCTAATGAGGAAAAGTATAGGAAGAGCACCTAACAGAGGACTGGACGCAGTCTGGAAGGTCAGGGAGGTCTTCTTGGAAGAAGTGATATTACTGCGGAGCCCTGAATGATGAGTTCAAGGAGGGAATAGCCATGCAAAGGCCCTGAGGTTGGAAGAAACATAAGACACTCAAGGAGCCAAAAGCAGTTCATTGTGGCTGGAGGGATGAAGGTGATGGCTAAAGTGAGTCAAGATGAGGCTGGAAGGGGAGGCAGGGACCCGCCGTGGAAAGTATTAGAGGCCATGGTAAGGAATTTGGGTTCTTAAAAGCAATGGGAGGCCATGGATTGGTGGGTTTTAAGCGATCTAGTGACATGTCATTTATTCATTCAACAGTAGATACTAATTGAGCACCCTCTACATGTCAGGACTATTCTAGCCCCTGAGGATACAGTAATGAACAACACAGACATGGTCCCTGCCCTTGCTGAGCCTATATTCCAGACAAGGAAGTTTCTAATGTAAAATACAAGAGTGGATGTAGAAGACCAGTTGCGAAGCTATTGTGTGTTTCAGGTGTGAGATAATAGCGGTGGTGGAAGCACCGAGAATTAGACAGATTTGAAAAATGAGTGGCTGGCTCTGGCTCAGCTTCAAATTTCCAAGCGAGAACAGAGGAGAGGGGAGGGACATTTGTTTCCCAGGGTTGCTGTCTTGGCCACGGAGACATATGTTTTGAGAGCTTTGGTCCCTGCCACTCCTTCACCCATAAAGAGGGACTCCCTGAGCATCGTCCCTGAACCCCTGAGCTGCCTCCCGGGCTGTGGCTGGTTTCAGCTGGGGAAGCCGCTGGCCAGCCCAGACCCCTACCCCAAACTTCTAGGTGGAATCTGCGCCCAGCACCGCATGCATCCATCTGGCCTGACATCTATCAGTGTCAGTCCCTGGCTGCAAAAGCAATATTTATAAATCACGTTTCCAAACTGGCTACAAATTTGTACAAAGAAACAGATGGTTTGGGGTAGCCGTTTGTCACCCTGGATATTTATACGGTGAGGAGGAGGGGGCGTGGCACACCGCCGGAAGGATGGGGGACAGGAGGAGACCTTTCCTTGCTCCCACCAGGGGTCCCCCCAGGTAGACGCTCTGGTGGCCTCCAGGCAAAGAGAGGCATTTGGGGGAGAACCCCAGGCCCCTTGGTTGGAAAGACTCGTGCATTTGGAAAGGTCAAGGCAGGGCTGTTTGTGTCTCACGAGGCCTGCTCAGGATACCGCTGGGATGATGAGAAGGCAGGGCTATGCCGGTTGTTAAAATAGGGAAATACTTCCACAAAGGTTTAAAGAGCCACAACTCTGAGCCCCTCAAGTCCTTCCCTGAGGCCTCAGCCTTCCCCCCAGGCACTCCCTACTGTGACACAACCAAAGCCACCAGGGGGTTCAAGCCTGGCCCAGCCAGGGCTCCAGGCTCCTGCTCCCGGTGACTTAAGGTCAGTGTCCTTTCTGGGGTGCACTAGGTGTAAAATGTTTTTAACACGACTCCTGGAAATATGGATGGGTCTGGCTACAGAGCCCCCTGAGGTCTTTCCCTTTGGAGGGAAGGGGTGTAAAGGTATTGGGGATGGTCCCAGGCTTATTCCGGGGTCAGAGGAACCAACATGGTCGGGACCCTGGCACCTCTCTGTTGACATCTCCTCCTGGTCCTGTCACTCACTCACGCCAACCAGGCAGGCCTCCTGTTCCCGGAGCATCCCAGGCCTGTTTCCACCTCAGGGACGTTGCACTTGCTGCTCTGTCCACCTGGATCATTCTTTGTCCAGTTATCTGCATGGCTCACTCCCTCATTTCCTTTAGATCCCTACTCACTACTGATTCCTTCAGGTGGCCTTCCCAGACCATCTTATTTGAATTAGCTTGCACTCTTACCCTGTTTTATTCCCCCCGTTTTGTTTAATACATTTTATTGAACACCTACTATGTGCCAGGCACTGCTGTAGGCACTTAGGAGCCAGCACTGAACAAAATGAAGTCTAGACTCTTATGGCTATTACATTATTCCTCCCATTCCCACAGCACTTACACCCCCAACATATTATTTATTTGATTCATTATCCCTCACTAGAATGTAGACTCCAGAGGGCAGGGATTTTTATCTTTGCCATGTATTTCCAGAGCCTAGAACAGTGCCTGACACAAATGCTCAATAAGTAGTTACTGATGAAGGAGCTAACATGTTCTAGGTACTCACAATACACCTCGGCAGCCCGCATCTCCCTGGGGGCACCTAGCCACCTGAGGTGGCAGGCATGGTCAGCTCCCATTTCACAGATGATGAAAACTGAGGCTTACAGATATGTCAACCTTGTCAGAATTGCATAGAGAGCCACCAGCTGAGCCTGGGCAGGAACCCAGGTCCCTCACTCCCAGTCCATTGATCACCCAGTCTGTTCCTCAAAGGTTCAAACTTCAAATTCTTGGGGAACTTGCTGGGGCACGTCTCATAATGGGATCAGCTCAGGCTGGGCGGGGCAGTTTCCTTTCAAGGTAGTGAGCTAAGGCAGGAAGTACACTGGATCTGAGACAAGCATGAGTTCAAGTTCCAGCCTCCCCATCGACTCCCATAGGGCCCTGGGCAGGTCCTTGATCCTCTTAGAATGTCAGTTTCATCACCTGCAAAATGGAGGGAGGGCTAAGGAAACCACCTTAGGGTGGCCGTGAGGATGCAAAGAGCAATGTGAGTGACATAAAGCTCTTTTTAAGCTGAAGGGTGGGTGTGTGTGCATACGGCTTAATCAACCTTCACTTAGGGGCTCTTTAAGCCCTGGCCTCAGACCCACCCCCTCCTCATGGAGTGCCTCTCTATGTATTTCCATCTATCACTCTCTACCCTTGAGATGCCCACTCTCCACTGGGCCACCCACCCACTGCTTGTTCTGCAGGGTTTGACCAGTGGCCTGGGTAACAACAGCTCCAGCTTGGCCCCGACTTTCTGTGTGATCTTGGGCCCAACGCTGACCCTCTGGGGGTGTCAGTCTCTCCATCAATAATGTGGAAAGGAGGCAGAAATTTGATGCTTCTCACTGAACATCTTTACCTCTTATGTACATTTCTATGTACGTATACAACGTATAGTATTCTTTTGTATGCTTTTAAACTTTGACATAAATGATATACTTCATATTTTCTTTTGCTGGGGGTTCAGAAGTAACTCACCTTGAATGTCGAGCAGAGAGAAGTGAGGGTTGCTGGGAGCTTCAGGCACCAGGCGGAAATAGAAGCGGTGCCCGCCCTGGGGCTCGTCTCTGTCCACCACGCTGATGGTCTGGATGAGCTAAAGGGTGAGGAGGGGCAGGGGTCTGACATGAGGCCGAGCCCCTGGCCAGTCCGGCAGCAACCTGCAGTCCCCAGCCCCGGGCCTTACCTGGCCTGGCTTGGCGTCCTCACACACGGCTGCCTCGTAGGGAGTGGCCAGTTCTGGGGGATTGTCGTTCACGTCCAGGATTCGGATCCTTAGGGATGCCCGGGAGAGCTGGGCATGATTGTCTGTAGCAAGAGCACAGGAGGAGGGTGACAGGTATCCAATATGAGACCTAGACAGGCCCCACCTGCTGCTGGACAAGGTCAGGCAGTGGAGTCACACTGAGAGACTCGTGATCAAGCTGGTACCAGGATCAGGACTGAGGGCATCTGGCACAAGTGGGTTATCACCACTGTCACTGTCACATCACCATTGCCATCACCATCACCACCATTAGATGATCACTGTAGCCATCACCATTACTGTCACTGTCACCATCACCACCAGTGCCATTAGCATCGGCACCACTGGCATCATCATCACAGCCTTCACCACGGTAACCACCAATACCACCCAGGCCATCACCAACACCATCACCATCTCCACCATCACCCCTGTCAATATCGCCATTACTATTACCACGACCACCATTAGAATTACAATTGCCACCTCTGCCAATATAACTATCAGTATCACCATCTCCACCCTCATCACTATTACCCTCGTCAATGCCATCACCACAGCTCTATTACCATCACTATTAGATCACCACCAGCTCTACCGTCACCATTAGAATTATCACCACCACCACCTTCATTATCTCTACTGTCATCACAAACACGAAGGCCGTCACTATCACCACCTCACCCCCACCACATCATCAGCCCCACCATCAGCCCCATCACACCACCACCCCACTCCCGCCTCCAACAACACTACCAGCAGCGTCGCCAGCTCTGTCCATCACCATGGAGTGAACAGAACACACCGGGAGCAGTCATGCCCATTATTTCAGGCATCCTTGTAGAAACCCTGTGGGTTGGTACAATTATATCCCCATGGTGCCGAAGGGAAACTCCAACATGGAAAAGTTTAAAGATGTGGTCAGCTGGCAACTGAGCCCCAAATCTCTGTCTTTCGAGACCTGACCCCGAGAGGGTGTGACAAGTCCACCCCCGGTCTCGGCCTGGGTCCTCAGCAAACCATCAAGTCCCCACTCCTCCCACGGTGATGTCTTTGAGGTCAAGGCCTCTGTCGTGACTTCCACACTGTGGGACACGACGCAGAGTAGGTCCCAATACATTTGTTGAACAAATGAATGAAACCCGGAAGGATTCAGATGGAAAGAGGTTGAGTTCCCAGCAGGGCTCGGTCCTTGACCCCGTGCTTGATCTTGGGTAAGACCTTTCCTCTCTGATACGAGTTTCCACCCCAGAGAACAAAGGGCGCATAGTGACTAAGGTCTAGAACTCTGGAGCCCCGTGGTTCTGATCCAACAACCATCACTTTGTTGTTGTTGTTAATCCTCACCCGAGGATATTTTTCCTTTGATTTTAGAGATAGTAGAAGAGAGAGGGAAAGGCAGAGAGAAACATCAATGTGAGAGAAACACATTGATGGGTTGCCTCCTGCATGTGCCCGGTCCAGGGCCCAGGCCAGGGAGAAGCCTGCAACCAAGGTACGTGCCCTTGACTGGAATCGAACCTGGGACCCTCTGGCCTGCAGGCCGATGCTCTATCCACTGAGCCAAACCAGCCAGGGCCCAACACCGTCATTTGGCCGCTGTGTGATCCATGCGACGTGACTTGTCTTCTCTGTGCCTCAGTTTTCTCACCAGCCAAAGGAGGTTAGTAGCTATGGGCTGGCTAAGGGGACAGACCGAGTTACTATCTGTAAAGCCCTTGAAACTGTGCATGCAACACAGCAGGTGCTGCATAAGGATCTGTTGCATAAGCGAACACTCTCAAGGCTGTTCAGCAGTGACATCAAGTGACTAGGATGTTGGGACCCCTCGCCCAGCCTGTCCTCTCTGAGCAACACCCAGAATGTCGGCCCTTCCTAGCTGCACCCAGACCTCTGTGTGCTCACTGGGCCCGGTCCTCCGCTATCTTAGCCGTGAGTTCATTCCTCTTCAAGGACATCCTCTGGGACAGGAAACTACCCCCGTTCAAGCAGGGATTCGAGGGCTGGGTCTCTGGCCTGCCTGGCAGGGAACTATTCTGGGGGCAACCTGGAAGCTTCCAGCCAGGAGCCCCAGGAATTTTGGGGGGGAGAACTGGTTGGCTGCCTCTTTCTTTGAACCCTGGGCCGCTGGATGTGGACTGCGGCTGCCTGTGTGTTGATAGAGAGGAAGGGAGACGGGGAGGCAGGTGCAGCCACCTCAAAGGAAGCGGGTGAGTCTTTAATTAACTCAGACCCTGACCCCTCTCTGGAGCTCCCCTTGGCCGGGGCACCTTATCCTCTCAGCTCACTCGGACCTGCTGCTTTGGCGATTAGGGGGGCTTTTCCAGGGGTGAGAGATGGGAGTCGTGACTGGGAATGCCGGGAGAGCCGTTATTTTTAAGAGCGCGGTGTTGGAGAACTTAGACAGACAGATGGTGGTGCTTTCTGGAGTCGGGGAGGGTGAAGCTGTGCCAGGAACAGGCACCTCTCTACCCGGGGAGGCAGAGGGAGGGTAGGGGGGCACCCTCCCCTGCAGTGGGGGCCGCACAGGGACCAGAGAAGAGACAGAGTCCTGTGGGCACACAGAAAGGAGCCCTCAGGACAAGTTCCCCGTCCGTGGGCAGCCACCCTGCGGGAGCACTGGGCACAGCAGGAGAGGCCCCGATGGCACTCCTCCTGCTGGTCCTGGGGTATCTCCTCCTCTTCTTTTTGAAACATTCGTGCTTTGTTGGGATATCATTGCCATGTAACATGGTGTGAGCTGACGGTGTACAATGTGTGAGGACCTGATACACGTATAGATTGTGAAATGTTTACACAACATGGTTAGTTAACACGTCCTCCTGACCGCCCCACATAATTACCACTCTGGTGCTGTTCCGCCTTCCCTTTTAAAATGTCACAGGTCACCTCTTGAGGAAGCCCTGAGCCCTTGGGCATGAGTGAGGGTCTCAGATCCAAGAGGCAGGGCGGCTGAATCAACCCGGGGGAGGTGAGCCTCTACTCTGCCAACATCGCCACCTGCAAAGCTTACCCCAGGGAGCCCGAAATTGGGGGCTGGCCTGGAACCCCCCGAGCTTGTGGGCCACCCTGAAATCAAGACCCAGTGCCCCTGACATCACAGCAGTCTCCAGCCGGCTGCAATTAGGAAGCTTTTAAAATACACAGGTGCCCAAGGCTTGGCCACTGCCGTTTTTCGTTGTTTTTTAAAAAATATATATTTTATTGATTTTTCACAGAGAGGAAGGGAGAGGGATAGAGAGCTAGAAACATCAATGAGAGAGAAACACCGATCAGCTGCCTCCTGCACAACCCCCACCGGGGATGTGCCCGCAACCAAGGTACATGCCCTTGACCGGAACCGAATCTGGGACCCTTCAGTCCGCAGGCCGAGGCTCCATCCACTGAGCCAAACCGGTCAGGGCAACACTGCCGTTTTTTTAACAGCTCCAGGAGCCCAATGTGTAGCAAGGGCTGCCACCCACTGCCCTGGAGTGACTGGCAGGTGCGGGAGTCCAGCCTGATGTCTCACCTCTGACTGCCTTCTTCCTAGGTTAACATCATTTGTAAAAATTGATAATAATAATTCACACATTTACCACCTTAAATATTTCCGGTATAAAACAAGGAACTCACCCATGCATTAATCTACACCTCTGTGCAGGACTTTGCAATTTATAACAAACTTTCTTATCTATGACCTCATTTCATTCTTGAAACAACCTTTGTTAAGGAGGTCTTGTTAAACCCATTTTGTAGATGAGAAAACTGAGGCCCCAAGAGGGGCAGGACTTTATCCAAAGCCAAGTCAGCGGCAGAGCTGGGTTGGGTTCTAAGTCTCCTGACTCCAAGTCCAGTGCTTGGTCTAGGTACAATGTCAGTGGGCCCTCTAGCTGCCTGGATATTTGTCTATCCAGAGGCACCTACTGCTCAGACCCAGGCCCACAGTGACCCCACCCAATGCCCAGCAGCAGGTGCCCTCTCCAGGGGCCAGATCTCCCCTGGGCCTCCCCCCATCCCCCCGCCTTTGGCATCTCAGTTCAGCTGACTGACATGCAAATTAGTTTAATTATTTCTTCTTCTAAAATAAATTATATTTTGCAGTAGCTGCAATATGTTGTGTCAGGCAAAATTACATTCAATATTTTTAAACTAATTGATGCAGCCTTGAGGAAGGCTGATTGACAGGCCAGAGCTGAGCAGGCCTGCAGCCTTAGCGATTCCTAAATTAAAATTAAACGTGCTTCGGCCTGGTGGTTCTTCCCTGTGTGGGCTCCCCATTAATCTGGGAGGTGGCAGGTGACGCCCTGGGGGCCGAGGGGCCCAGCAGTGCAGTGGGTGCTTCAGGAAGAGACCAGACTTGGGGCAGAGACTGGCTGTGCAGTGTGGGTGGGCCTCTTACACTTTGCGCCCCGAGTCCCTTATGCATAACAGATGGAGGAATGGACTGAGTAATTTGGAGCTGAGACTTCTGGTTTTTGCTGACAATTACGGATTGAGCACCTTCTGTGTACCAAGGACACAACAGTGAGCAAGACCAACATGGTCTCTCAGTCTAGTGGCAGGAACAGACATTACTCCAGACCTGAAAAGAGTTGAGGGATAAAGTTCAGGAGCTGTGAGAGCATGGAGCAGGGGGTCCCGCCCTTGGGGGGGCGGGTGGGTGTACAGGGATGTGTTCTCTGGAGTAAGTGACCTTTAGGTTGAGATCTAACTAGGAAGTAATGTGAAACCCACTGTTAAACCAATCAGGTGAAGTCCTGATGACCTTATTTAAACTTGGCCCTTACTCTCCCACCTGACACCCCTCCCCGGCTATACTTCTCCCCACAGCCCACATCAACACCCCCATGTTTCTACCTGCCTACCTTGCCCATTGCCCACCTCCCCCGCTAGGAAGTCAGCAGAATTTTTGTCTGTTGTGTTTACTGCTGTAACCCCAGCACCCACTGCTGCGTGACCCTGTTCCTGCCTCTATCGCTGGACCAAGGTTTTCTCATCAGTAAAACAAATGGAGTTGGACTTGGAAGTTCTCCGTGGCTGTGAGAGAAAGAGAAGCCCAGAGAGAAGCAGAGATCGAGGC